AGAGAGAGAGAGAGAGAGAGAGAGCTGCCGCCACCACTGAACCAGAGTGAAGGACGAGAGACCAAAGGAAAAGAGACCTGAGCGCACTCAGTGGACGCCTTCTTAAACGCAGCTGTCACACACACACACACACACACAGAGAGAGAGAGAGAGAGAGACGGCTGACAGCAGCAGTTGTCGTCTCATTCTCACTTTCTGTCTCTGTTAGGATGCAAATGCAGCACATCTGTGTGTGTGTGTGTGTCTGACAGTAGATTAACCTCTCATATTGTCTGGAGCTTCAGGGTGAGACGCACAGCGGGTCACATATGACACCGGACACAACAAACCCAAACCCCCTCCTGAGAGGAAAGACTGATCTATTACACCTGACATGCATTAATAATGTCTTTATATATATAATATATATACTGTATATATATAAATAGCTCAATATTTTTGTGGAAACCGGCATACATTCTATTTTTCAGGATTGTCACATTTGACCAATTTGATGCTTCCGTGATGAATAAAAGTATTTTCAATTCATATATATATATATATATATCCAGAATGCCTGTCTATAGCTCTCTGTCTCTGTCCATATAGTATATCTGCCTGTCTCTCACCGTCACATCATTTAATCTTGTAATGGTCTCCGTTCATTCATGATCTATTTATCCCTCTCTCTCTCTCTCTCTCTCTCTCTGTCCTTCACCCTGTCGTCCTCCTGTCATCTTCTCTTTCTCTGGGGTGATAAAATCACTGCCTCGTTCTCTTCATGCAAACGAGCCTCTCAGACAGACAGAGAGTGTTTAGGTTGAATGAAGGGTCGACGTATGTTTGATTTTGTCCTGAAAACATCAGCATCATTTCTTCATGCCTGCATCTGTTTGCTTCCATTAAGACTGAATGGGAGTTTCGTACGACACATCCTCGCACACGTTTAAAACACGACCGCACATGCATTGACACACACACACACACACGATGAGAAGACACGAAACACATCAGCTGTGATCTCATTCAGAGCTTAAAATGAGAAACACACACTTATAATTACAACGTCTACACAAACACAGTGAACAAACCCGTCGCCGCATGTATTCATCTGTTCTTTTACACATATTAAAAGCAGTTTTTTACATGCATTACTGTGTAAAATAACAGTGTTTTTATCACTAAGGTGAATAAATGCTGTATGATTGTTCATTGTTAGTTTATGATAACTAATGCTTTACCTCATGTTACATACACAGCATTATTGTAAAGTGAAACTGAACAAACACATCCGAGATTGAATGAAGTATCATTCACACACACACACACACACACACACACAGGGATATTCAGTATCTGTCTCTCTCTACCTCAGAGTTCATATAAGGGATTCTTTGGGGTTATTTCATGATTTGAAGGATTTACCTCATAAACCGTGTGAGGAACGGAAACACAGAGCGCAGGTTGAGAGCAAACAAGTGAGTGAGTGTGTGTGTGTGTTTGCGTTCTACAGGTTACATTGTCATTTAAGCTGATTGGCTGAATACCAGTACTGCCTAAACTGGTTTTCCCTCTTGTACACGCCTACAGCACTCACACACACACACATACACACACATACTCTCTCACACACACACACACACTCACTCACACACACACACACACACACACACACACACACACACTCACACACAGGCTCATTTCAACAAGTTGTGCGTGACATTCTATTTGTCTACGTGTTTATGAGATAACATCGGAAGTGTGCTGATATGAATCGAGCGCTGGTGAGGTCACACACACACACACACACACACGCTTATGATTTGCTCTGTAAATCATTCATCTGTTTTCTGACCATTATTCCTTAACTCTTTCCTCTGAAGAAAGAAAACAAGCTCTAATTCAAGCACAAATGTGTGAGATGCGTAGAGATACGAGACATAGATATATACTGTATTGGTGTAAAAAGATCACATTAGCAATTAAAGAATAACACTTCAGCAAAACATGCTCAGCTCAAAGTGTCTGAATCATTTTTGGTCCGGTAGTCCACTGTATGAAGAATCTTTGGGTGTAATTTGTCACAGTTTACTTTATTTAGCTATCCTCACTTACATAAATTTTACTAGTGTCCTGCACCCACTAGTAAAAAATATCAAAAATGATATCTGCTGTCTGAATAATTTTTGGTTTGACTGTAGATAGATGGATAGATAGATAGATAGATAGATAGATAGATAGATAGATAGATAGATAGATAGATACCTGTAGGGAGGGCAGGGCAGCAGCAGGTGTGTCGTCAGCTCTCAGAAACACTTGCTGTCCGCGTCTGAAACACAAACCACAAGCATCAGAATCTGCTGCAGTTTTTATCCATCCCTCTATCCATCAATCTGTCCATCCACTTCTGTCCAACAAAACTATCTCACACACACACACACACACACACACACACAGTTCTGAAGCTCCACTTTCTCCATCTCCTGTCCTCTGTGTGTGTGTGTGTGTGTGTGTGTGTAAGCATGCAGCAGCAGCGAGTGCTTACAGGTCTCTTCCTCGCTTCCTCTCATGAGCGTTCATGTCATTCCCTCCTGTGTGTCACAGCTCGGCACACACACGCACACACACACACACATACACACACACTCGTGTCGAGTCTCACGGAGGTCTGCGCTCGAGCCCTCAGCAGGGAACACACTGAGAGCACACACACAACACCACTGCTCTTCTGTCCTCTCTCTCTCTCTCTCTCTTGACTGGTGAAGCTTCTGATTCTCATGCTCATCAGGGTCCTAAAACCCTCTAACTTTCTCTCTCTATATATATATCCATATTTCTATATATGTGACCCTGGAGCACAAAACCAGTCATAAGGGTCCATTTTTTAAAATGAGATTTTGAAATTAATAAATAATCTTTCCATTGATGTATGGTTTGTTAGGATCGGACAATATTTGGCTGAGATACAACTATTTGAAAATCTGGAATCTGAGGGTGCAAAAAAATCTAAATATTGAGAAAATCATCTTTAAAGTTGTTCAAATGAAGTTCTTAGCAATGCATATTACTAATCAAACATTAAGTTTTGAAATATTTATGGTAGGAAATTTACTAAATATCTTCATGGAACATGATCTTTACTTAATATCCTAATGATTTTTGGCATAAAAGAGAAATGTATAATTGTGACCCATACAATGTATTGTTGGTTATTGCTACAAATATCCCCCAGCGACTTAACACTGCTTTTGTGCTGCAGGGACACATATATATATATTAACAAATACAGTATATAGTAGCAAATTACATGTTGGTGTTACAAAAATGTAACTTTGAAGGGTTCACCGGAAAGCTATTTGATTTTCACACGTTGTTGCAGCACAGAAATGTCTGAAAAATTAAAAACAATGAACAATATTTGTTTTGTACAGGGATGTTGTTATTCTAAACAATTTGCACCAAAACTTTAGTAATAAAGTATACTGTATGTATATTACTAAATATTTTTACCCTGACTCGATTATAACTCTAAGTTAATAAGTCCAACTTTCACTGCTTATAATTTAATTCAGACATCTACGTAAACGCACATAATTCCCAGGTTATTATGACTATTTTATTAATTTCACAAGCCAGTCAAATTACACTCATAACTGAAATGTGCCATCCATTTCAGTGTAAATTCTATTTTGGATACAACACAGTGCTGAAGACAAGCTTTGATGATTTGTCTATAAACAACTATTTAAACGCCAACAAAGTGTAAAACTTTGTTGATGATTTTAAAGTTTAAAGGAGACATATTATGCTTCTTTTTACAATATGTAATATAAGTCTCTGGTGTCCCCAGAATGTGTCTGTGAAGTTTCAGCTCAAAATACTCCACAGATCATTTATTATATCATTTTGAAAATGCCTATTTTGAGTGGAAGCCGAAACAGGTTGTTTTTCGTGCCTGTCTCTTTAAATGCAAATTAGCTGCTGCTCCCCGCCCCCTTTTCCAGAATAGAGCTGCGCCTTTACAGCTCGGACCTGCTAAAAACATCTGTTTTGGTTCTGATTATCATGTTTATCGTGCTGAAATAATGTGTTTTAACTCATATGAGTTTACACTTCTGATATAGGGTTTTCTGAGCGCACACATCTGAAGCACACGCACAGAAAGCGGCTGTCACAGCATGCGAGCACTAAACTAAGCTCTCATTCACACACAAGTCTGCCTTAAACACACACGAGTTACAAAAACAGTGGGTTATGTCTGTGAAGGTAAACAGCTGGGAAATAAATCTCATGTTTATTTGAGATCTAAACAGTGTTCAGTGCTCGTCTGTGCAGCCAAACACAGAACAGTTAGCATGCTTTGCTCAAACTTTCGCCATGGCATTAGAACTAGTACAGATTAAGGGGCGGTAATATTATAATGAGATCCCTTTGCCACGTCACCAAGCGAGCGAAATCAGACGCGCTGGTTTTCTCAGAAAAAGGCTTCCCAAAACAAAGTTACTGGGTTATTCTTTCTCACGTTTGCTTGGTTGGTAGATGCACCGGAGACCTGATTATAGCACTTACAACCTGGAAAAGTCTGATTTTCATGATATGTCACCTTTAACAATTTCAGGTTTCAGGTTAAAATTTGGTGTGTCATTGAATCCCACATTATGACTGAAAAGGTTGTTTTTTCATTGATTAAATAAAAAAAATATTTCAATAATTTAATAAGCAACTAAGATGATGTCACCACTGTCAGAAGATTTTATTTTTAGTTTACTTTTTTCCACATTTTTGAACAGCAAGAAGTTTATTTATTTATCCATTAAAAAAAAAAGCAACTATTGTTTCTATAGTTAAAAATGTATATTTTTACAATAATACTGTTTAAGAATGTGATATGAATACTCATTATGATTAAGATCTAAGTCTGAAATGATTACAAAATTAAATTGTCTGTACAGGAAGCATGAGTTGATTTAATAGTGGACCATTTTAGAATAAAGAATGAAAAGCAAGAGATAATGCTCTCAGTATAATACTCTTCTCACACATGAGGAACATTCAGGGCTTTAATATGTTCTCAGGGACAAACGAGATGAAAGGGGTTTGTACATTTGCGTTTCTCTTGTTCATCTTTCTGACTTTTATCTGGCATGAATCAGAGAAAATTATCACACACACTCTCACACTCTCACAGACACACACTCACACTCTCACACACACACACACACACACACACACCACACACACACACTCTCTCTCTCACACACACACACCACACACACACTCTCTCTCTCTCTCTCACACACACAC